ACCACAATATACCCTCCAGATACAACAATATACCCAGGTATCTGAAGGTATCATGCAGATACCCATGTATACCCTCCAGATACCACAATATACCCAGGTATCTGAAGGTATCATGCAGATACCCATGTATACCCTCCAGATACCACAATATACCCAGGTATCTGAAGGTATCATGCAGATACCACAATATACCCTCTAGATACCACAATATACCCTCCAGATACAACAATATACCCTCCAGATACAACAATTTACCCAGGTATCTGAAGGTATCATGCAGATACAACAATATACCCTCCAGATACCACAATATTCCCAGGTATCTGAGGGTATCATGCAGATACCGTGTATACCCTCCTGCTATCGGGCTGACCATGCCTGTGAGCCAGCAGCCCAGGAGTTGAGGTGAGGAGGTAGTCTGTTGTTCCACCTGTCTGCACCGTGGCCTGTGTCGGGGTGAAGACAGGCCGCCCCCAGGCCATCTTGCATTGTCCTAGAGAGGCCACGGCAGGTTGGCCACCGAAACCAGCCATTGAGTCCAGTACTGGTTGACCATCAGCATGAGGTCCAGTAGGGCAGACTGGGGGCGAGGGGCTTGCGTTACACCATGATTCCTACCTCCCAGACAGGAGAGGGCAGATAAGTTATTTCCTGTTGTCAGTGTGGAGGTTATGAATGTGGACACTCCAGAGTGACAACGTGGTGCGTGACATTTGGAGAGATTGTACGCTGGATTGTACACCAACAAAATCATGTTAGGAGTACCTGGGTGGTTTGACTACTCTATCAGTAAGTATACTTGTCAACACTTTATATAACAGGTGTTTTTTAGTTGAACTAGTTCTACCATATCACTGATAAAAATGACATTTTTTTATACATGCAACTGTCAGTTTGTTATTGACAGGTATGATGTTAGACTTTTATGAGTTTCTGTGTTGTTATTCAGCCTTCATTGTAAATGTCTCGAAATATATATACCAATTTCAATTGATCAGTAAGACTTTGAAAATATATATATTTGTATCAGTCATTTACAATTTGGCAAAGAATGATAATGTATTGTCAACTCCAATTTCTTAAAAAATCGAGATGGAAAAAATTTACATTTTTGAAATGTTACCTCAACCGCTCCCTTTGACATTGATGCATGTCGGGGTAGCGATCCATTTGGTAACACCTACTTGTAATGTGTGTCAATCAGTCCTCTCGATGGAACTCACGCCTCTAACCTTACTTCAAACAGTGGAAAAAATGAACATTAGCATTTCCAGTATTCATATGCAGGATCAATGTGAGGCTGTTGTACATACTTCACGGGAGCGTTACAATCCGCAGTGGTATTTGGGATATAGCCGACACAGTTTCCTGGACGTATGAAGACGTTTTGTAATAGTTTGGTTGTTGTTTGAGTTGTGATTACAACATGACAGCTATGTCATCGAGGATCGTTATTCGTCGTTGTTTCAACAATGGAAATGCTTCAGCGGTTACATCACCTGGACATCATAAACAAATTATGCCTTTTCATACTTTCAATCCCCTGTCTCTGTTGTTCATGTTAAGCGTTGTTTTATTAACATGCTGATAAGGATATTTCACAGCGTTCAATTCCTACCAGCATGTTGCTTTGAAATCATTTGAATAGTTGGCTTAAGTTTGTTAAGAAACACACAGAGGCTTGTAATCTTTGTAGTTCTCAATTTCTGCCTTCATTTTCCTGTTTACAAAACCTAGGTACAAATTTGAGGAATATTTTTCTGACTTTCATTGACGCAAAAGATTCAGAAATGTGATGTGTTGCCTTTAGATAAATTAATGTTTTTCTTCTCATACAAATAAGTTAACGGATGTGTGAATCAATTTTCATACTCCGACTTGTAAACTTGATCCTAGGTGACATTGTAACCATGTGTGTTATATACTACTCAAAAGAAGTTAAGGACAACCGATTCTTTCGTGTTGCTATAGTTAAGCTGGCATGCTGGGACAAATTAACTATAGTAACATGAAAGATTTGGGTGGTCCTTTACTTTTTATGAGTAATATATGTTGTACAGATACATGTCACCGAGATCAATTTTGGTTCATATTGTCGTAAATGTCACATGTTTATGTCAGACTTACAGGATATTTAGTAATTAACTTACGACTTGTCAAAAAAGGATATATCTAAAGGGGAAAGAATTTTGACACTTTGCTGCAAATCAGTGGTGTGAGTATCAATTGTAAGCCAGCACTACAGGACGCTTTGTTCAGCCAAGACGAAGTGAGAGGTACAGTAATTATACCTGAGCCCACGTGTTCACCTGATGTTTTTTCTGCTTGGCTGCTCGTTAGATTATTGTTTACCTGTACTTCCCTGGGGCTGTTGTATTCGTTCCCCGGGTCAGTTGTCAATTGTCATCAGACTTGTTGATTGAGTGATTATATAGGAGTTATTCTTATCAACTCTGTTGTAGTTTGGGAACAGTTGATTCAAGGTTTTGTCTTAGAGATGTTTCACATTTTATTTTTAATTTATCAGTGTTTTAATACTCATTGTATTACAGTGCCATTCATCAATTGTTCTCAGTTCAATTATATTGCTTTATAAGATGGGTGAAGGATATGGCAAAGTAATCAGTTTTCTAAAGTAAAATTTTCCGTCAAATCTACATACAACAATCTCAACGATAATGCAACACTACTGTAAATACTGACATGCCATTACATATTGTTCACTCTGTATCTTTGTATAAGGTCAAAAATAATTTGAAATATTAGTACAATTTTGTCCATTTTCTGATGGCTTCAGATCAAATACAATTTGAAACATTAGTAGAATATACGCCTCTATTAATGATTGCATTTGATCAAAGATTTCTACCTGCACCCATCTAAAAATACCTTTCATAAATCAAACTCTATCTGTAGCAACCTTTCAGTTGTCATTTTTATAGGTCATAATCAAATACTACATTTTCCGGAAATAATAAACGACCAACATATTAGCGCACAGAGCACTTATGCACAGTGAATGCTGCGCTATACAAATGCATAAATTATTATTATTATTATTATTATTATTATTATTATTATTATTATTATTATTATTATTATAATATATTAATAGTATATATTCTGTGACATAAATGGTATGGGAGAGTGTAATGATTGCTACCATTGTTAACACTGGGTGATGTAATCGTGGCTCTGGAAGTTTTCAACGATGGACAAGGGGTCACCTACGGTTAACAGCCCACCCCCAAATTTTCAATAAATGAATCATATTGTCCCTGTGGGCCTATACTCTTGACAGTACGGTAGGAGTTAAATGTGAAATGTCAGTATGACCAGGCCAGCACGTCATGGTCGACTGGCCGACGTATGTTCGTGTAGAGCCAGGGTATGGCCAGATGTAGGCTAGCTCCTATAAGTCTGCCTTGAATCCACCCTCTTGCTTGCTGCCAGGCCACTTGACACAGATTGATACTGCTTTGATGTTACTCGATACATGCAGAACCATTGATATGGAAAGTGAAAGACATCGCGCCTTTGTTGGCGTATACGATATACGTGCACTTTCACACACACACACACACACAATCACAGGGCATGCATATTGTGGGAATGAGAATAAAGTCTACCCTTCTCGTTCATTTTCTTGGAGAAATGTTTGAAATGAAATATTTTATATATGCTACTTTAAAGAGTGAGTGAGTGAGTTGGGTTTAACGCCACTTTTAACAGTATTCCAGTTATATCGCGGCGTGTCAGCTTAATGTGGGAAGAAAGCACGAATTGATGCAGGTCTCAGACGTTTACCACTTCCGTGAAACCCAGGAGCATGGGTATGGTGCTGACAAACCTAGAAACATAATCGGGGCGGACCGGGATTCGAACCAACAATCATAGGTTTCTGGCGTGCCCAAGGGACGCAACTCTGCACAGCGAATCGCGGCGCCTTAGACGACTGTGCCACCCGTGCCCCCGCTACTCCAAAGAAGTTAAAGAACTCCCATGTTTTCATTGGACAATAGTTATTTTGTGAGGGCTGGTGGGTATTGCCCCACACAGCCTTCCAATTGATGTTCCTTAACTTGTTTTGAGTGGTATATCAATTTTCACTTCAAAATGGTCAGTTTTTATATTAATAATTTTTTAGAATTAACTCTTGATTTCATAAAAGCCAAAAAATGTTAGCATGTCAAAAAACTTGTGCTTTTAGCAGTCTATATTTTCTGCACATAGGACTAGATGTCTGGTGAAACGTTCATTGATATCATTTTTGTCGCTTATAAGACATGTTACGTCATATCACGTCATTCTTGACCACTTAATCCCTAACTAGATCAATTGAGTGTTCAATTGACTCAATTCAGAATCCAAAAATCCAGAAGAACTGTAACAAATGCAAAAGAAAGCTTGCCAGAGATTGGGGTAATTCTATTCTGGCAGCCATGCGAGCTTTCCTGATCTCTTCACACGCAAACAGATCTACACTTATCACATACGAAGAAAAACTCCTCATTTGGAGCCCACTCTGGCCCTGTGACAGGGGAGATTACATGTGGTTTAATGCGAAGAAAATCACAGTTTAACTTTCAAATGTTGCACTATCGTCAGCTGAAGCTGCTTAATACAACAGTAAACTTGGTTCTAAAGAATGTTATTTTTTTCGCTTTTTTTTATTACTTTTTTTATGTCACAGACCAATTCAAGTGGGGACTGGAGGTTTGGGTCCAAGAATTCTTGAAATACCTATCGTTTGCCAGAAATGGGTCTTTAACCCCAATTTTCAAACAAGTTTTTAAGCAAGGCTGCTTGACTTTGAACTTGTCGGTTTCGGTAATAGACGTAACAGAAAAGCTAATATATCATGAGTTATTTTTGAATTGCAAGTATTGAAGGTTGTAGGGCAGAAAAATTGCAACCTCATTTCTTTTATTAATACAAAACAAAAACAAAACATGAAAACATCATTCAAAATCATAAGTTGTTTTGTGTTCTTTTTCCAGATCAAACGCATCCCGGAGTATGACAAGTATTTAAATGATCTTCTTGATGAAACGGATTCAAGTCACACAGACTTTGATGACTTGAAGAAAGCCGTCGACAAGGTTAATAACGTAAGTAGCCATTTTGTTTCACAAATTGCATCATCATTCCTGCTTTGAAGACTAATTACCAGCTGCTAATGTCACAAGAAGTTTTGCAGAGGCCCGATTAACATGAGGCTGTGAAAAAGCAGAACGGTTGATGGAGGAATGGGTTGCAAAGGTCAGAGTTTGGTAGACAATTGTCTGTTTGGCCGAGGCGGGAACTTTGCCTCAAAACATCCAAGACTAAGCATTTGTGGGTGCCAAAAATACAATTAGGGACCTTTGACTCTAACCTTGTCAACTGTTTTTTGAAAGTGCTACCAGAAAGGTCAAGGTCAAGCATGAAGGATAAGCGGTGCTCCCAATGTCTGAAATGCGAAAAAAATAATTCCTGACACCGTTAATGACGCTGAAGCTGCTGTTGTTGCCAGATTTTCTAAATGCTTTAAAGTCCAGAATAGATGCACACAGAACTTGTCCGAAGTTGGGAACTTGTGAAATTTAGAAAGATTTTTTGTATACTTCAAGCAACAGACACAACATAACTTGTAGATATTTCAATGTCATTTCTTTAAAATAAAACCCATCATTTCCTAATCAGAATAATGTTTTAGTTTAATAAATATTTTGATGTTTTATTTTGTTTTATTGAAATATTTTTTTATGGTAGATGCAGATGCAATTTAAGATGTTCATTTTTTTATGTTAATAATCTTAAATCGCAGTCATATAAGCGATGACTAGACATTTAAACGTTTTCTTACACAATGTTTCAAGGATGCTGACATCAAACATACTTTTTGTGTGGACAACATTCTGCAATTTTATCCTGAAAAGTTATGCCATGTACTTCTACTTCTTTTTCAAAGCATGCTGAAGCTAGCCATTCTTTCTAGTTTTTGAAGAAGTATAAATTTGTCTAGTCAAAATATGTTATGTCAGAAATATAAGACATTCACAATCACATGCCTTCCATTTTATATACTTGGTATCTTTTGTCTGTTCAGCCATTCATTCTAGTTTTTGGAGAAATATAAATATGTCAAAGTATGTCATTTCAGAAATATGAGGCACTCAGAAATGGATGCCTTTCATTTTATGTAATTGATATTTTTTGTCTGTTATCGATCATAAATTGTTTTTTGAACACACACTGTTTTACACGACATGTGCAAATGTAGTTATTGAAGGATTAAGATAGCTGTCATTCTTTACACCGTTACTTTGTCTATTTTGGGCATCATTGCTATCGACTGACCAGAGGCTGGATGAGCTTCGAGTCTTTGTGTAGATAACATTTGTCCTTACATTTGCTGAGATCCAAGATGGTTGATGTGTCTTACGCTTAACTGGTGGCGTTGGCGCGAACGAATCAACACATTTACATGCAACATTCCAAAGGTGCAACCAAGGGTCATAGAGTGCCGAGATTCTACAGGCATGTCTCTTGACTTTTTTTACCACCTGAGGGTGATGGAGGAGGGCTCGTGTGGGCCGAGGCCAAATAATGGAGGCCCCATCTCCCCAGACAGAATAGAACTTGAACTTCATAAACTTTAATCGCAATGAGGTGTGAGGAGTAGCAACGATTGAGACAAACACGATGCTTGCATGTGGCACAGTTGATTCTTTCATTTGTGCGTTTGTCATTACACACGTCGTCATGCGCTCCGCCTATAGATTTACATTCCTCTAAATTGGACAGCGTCAACCATTATTCTCCAGTTTGTTGGAATTCAAGAAAAATAGAAATGTCAACTATGCACATTTGAAAATGTATGTTGGGTTCTTGACAGAATTATACAACCAAACGTTCCTATTAATCAGACAACAAACAAAAATGGTTTCAAAGAATTTTCAAAATTCCTGAAGTATAAAAAAAAAGACTCTGAATGCACTACTGAAAAAATTGTTTTGCTTTAATAATAAAAAGAATATAAAAATGTTGCTAATTAAATTTAAAAAGTGGCACATATGAAATCTATAAAATAAATTGACTCATAATCCAACCAAATACCAAATATTATATCAAACAAACAGAAGTGACATTTCTGTACATTTTTATTCTAAGATGCAGCTTATGTATGAGGATTTCATGATACACTACACCTTAGGTAAGATTATGGCATATGACTTTAAAGATTTGTTAGGAACATGTTCCTTGCTGACAGAGATATATTGCCCAAGCAGATGTCGACTAGCCTCAGGACATTCTTACAGATACTACCGCTCACACAACTTGTTATTAGGCAGTCTTACCACCAACTGTTGTCAGCCCTCCACATAACTTACATGACTAACATATATTATGAAATATAAAATAGCTGTGACACATATTACTCTCTTGCTATGATATATGGTTTTCAGGAGACTAAGTTTGGCATTGAATACATATTATTATCCAAAAATCATTGTATTAGAAAGGCTGTTTAAAAATAAGTCTTCATTCATGAGAACCCAGTGATTCCTTGATGTTCAAGGAATGTGTACCTGTAGAGATGATTGCCTTGATAACTTATTCAAAGTCAAATGACAATTCCAGAGAATAATCAGTCTTGAATATCTGCCAAAACAGACTGTATATCTTTTGTTAATTTTTAACATTTTGAAAGCTCATAAAACATTCAAAACAGGAAGCTAAGATAAATATAAATATCTTTTGCAAAAACTTAAGTCCAGTTTTGTTTGGGTCCTGGCAGTCAAGTTTTATATTTTTCTGTTGTAAGCCAGTACCAGACAGTCAAACACTTTTGTGCAGGGAAGTAATTTTAAACCCTTTTCACATTCCTCTTGACCAAAGTTTGTGACAATCTGAACTGTTACTTGAGTGAAGAGACATAACAAGTGGATCATAAAATGTGGATATCAAGTGAACTGTTTGACATAGGGTTATTATTGGTGTACAGGCTCACTCAAACCATTCCTCAGATTGGTCAACATGCACCTTCACAATACACATGGGGATGTTTCTGAATTGAGATCTGGCAGTCAGTTTATATAATATGTATTATATAGATTATGTGCAAGGGGCTGTGGGGTAGCCCCATTAAAGCATTTGTTTGAAGATGTGAAGCCCATTTCTGTGATATTGTGGGGGCACGGGTGGCCCAGGCGTCTAAGGTGTCACGATTCGCTGTGCAGAGTTGCATCCCTTGGGCACGCCAGAAACCTATGATTGTGTGGGTTCGAATCCTGGTTCACCCTAATTATGTTTCTAGGTTTGTCAGCACCATACCCGTGCTCGTGGGTTTCACTGAAGTGGTAAACGTCTGAGACTTGCATCACTTCGGGCTTTCCTCCCACATTAAGCTGACACGCCATGATATGACTGGAATAATGTTAAAAGCGGCGTTAAACCCAACATACTCACTCACTCACTCACTCACTCACTCACTCACTCACTCACTCACTCACTCTGTGATATTGTCTTCCACTATGATATTGCTGGAATGTTGGAAAGCAGTGTAAAGACAAAAGTGCAAATTAGATTTTTTTTAAATGATTGTTGAAAGGATGAATATATGCATGAAATCTAATATAATTATTGTAATCTTTTACTGACATATACTTTTCAACATTTGCTAAAGACCAAACATAGTCAATTGTGTGATCCTTAGCAAATGTTAAGTGGTATAATTAAACATATAAACCTGGATCAATGGAGTTTCTAATTTTGTGGATATTTTGATCAATATGCCAAGAGAAAATATATAAAGGTTGCTTATTTTAATTTCCTAATATGAAATAAAAGTTTAAGAAAATACAAATAGAGGTATAATTTAGATCAGCTTGTGTGTAAACAAAAATGTGTTGCTCTAGCTGAATAAATTTACAGTGCGGACAACAAGGTAACACTTTACCTCCTACAGTTTTATTACTAAATGTGCATCCTTGCCTTGGATAATATGTACATAGCTAAACTGTCATACATTCCCACTTTACACCATAATATGTGTTAACCCCTACCCTGATGTCTGCAAGATATGACGATGCGAATTCCTACAAGGTCAAGCAGAATTATTTGTTAAACCTTTGCATTAAACAGTCTTTTTTATCAAATGCCTCATAAATTTTAATGTGGAGACGGCAAATGTGTTCAAGAACGTGGAGTATGTTTTGTATGTGTGTAACTGAGCTTTATGTATTCACAAAAGAACTTTGTGTGACACAAGTGAGACATTTCAACATTGAAAGCAGCGCGTGCAAGACTACACAGCATTTGTCATCTTTAGACTGTTGGCAAGCTCAGATTTTTATCATGCACTTCGAATGATGAATATGAAATGATATGAGTGTGGTTGTAAGGGTATTTGAGAATATGAAAGGGCTGAATAAGAATGGTTTGTAGGACATGGTCTGTAATGGTAGAGTCAAATACAATATGAATGGAAGTTGAAGTGGTTAGGGTCATTGCGGTTGAACTCTCTGCTTGTCGTTTCACTTAGCTTCAGTTAGACATATTGGTGCTAACAGAAATGGTTTCTCAACGATTTTGATTACCTTTATAAAGATTTCCTATGTGAAAATATATGGATTTGTTACTTATTCACTCTAAAGTAATAATATCCCACATTGTATATAATGTATGAATAAATAATATGAAAAAGGAGTACATTTAAGATTAGATATTAGCTACATGTATCTTTTTCACTCCCACATTCCTGTACCTTCTCATCAACACACGATACACTTGTAACAATGTGTGAGAAAATCAAGGCATTTGGCAAGGATGTTATGTAGGTCTTTGCTTTTTATGAGGATTTGATTGAATTCTGAACTGGCTGACATTTAGTCGCTTGCTGCACAATATTTTGAGTTGAATACGATCCTAGCATTTTCTTTCATCAAGCGTTTCATGTTTGACACCACTTTTATCGTATTTCATTACATCCCAGTTCCAGAAAGAAATCGCAATGTGACAGTCTACTGTTTGATGAAATCCACAAACAGATGTGTGTTGCTGGTTCACCAAGGATCAAATCTGAGTGATTCACTGATTTGAACCCACAATTGTCGGGGCAAAAGAAGATTTTTGTCATTGTGGATGGTTGATGTATCTCTATCTGAAGGTGGTCAGCATGAAAAAATGATGGTAGTTGTTCAACAAGGATATCCTTGTGCTCCTTGCTTATTTCTAGGAAAGAAAAGGAAAAATATTCCTAAAAGAATTCTAGTTTCATTTAGCATCTTTCATGTAATATAAACATCTGTAATATAAACATATTCTTTAGGGTGGAATAGCTGAAGTTTGTTATTCAAGACAGTTGTAAAGCCAATTTTTTTATAAATTTCTTGGACCATCAAATTAATTTGGGGAAGTAAAGCCAAAGGTATTTCAATTTTATTTTATTTATCATTGTGTTTTTTGGTCAAATTTGTAAATGAGAGTGAATGAGTGAGTATGGTTTTACGCCGGTTTTAGCAATATCATGGTGGGGGACACCAGAAATGGGCATCACACGTTGTACCCATGTGGGGAATTGAACCTGGGTCTTCAGCATGATGAGTGCACTCTTTAACCGCTAGGCTACCCCACCACCCCTGAAAATGAGAAACACTGAACACTGGGAGTGGAAGCTGGTTCTGACTAATATCATTTCATCATAACAGGTACAAAGGTAGGTTTAGTTCTGATAGGAATTTCTAATCCTGTACCATGCGTTAAGAAAAACGTCTTTACTCTTTACTCTTTACTCAGGTTCATTGGTTGCAGGTGTGAATGACTGTGTGTATTTTGTGTAACACTAGGAAGCAGTGGGATCCCCCTGTAGCCCCCTGTTGGAGCTGGCATCTGTAGGGGATGGGATGGACTGCATGTATCTGTGCACGTACATTGTGTCTCTTACCTGCATCAGGCTACTTTGTTGGAACTGAATGAGGGCATATTGATGACTTTGTGGTTAGTGTGGTCTGGTGTATTAGATTCATTTGGAGAATTTTACACCAACACACTGAGCGATTGTTTTCATGAATTAGGCAGCAACTTGAGCCCTTTCACAACTCCAAAAGAATCCAACCAGTGGTTGATAGTTTGCGAGTTTGCTGTTGTCAGGGTACAAAATCAGCCGGTCATAACGGAGAGTCTCCATTTTAATTAGCATTAAGAACAATTATGAGGTGGAGGGTGGTCATCAGGAAAGGGGTACAAGGCATCATGAGGGAGGGGGCCTGGAGGGGTACAAGGCACCATGAGGGAGGGGGCCTGGAGGGGTACAAGGCACCATGAGGGAGGGGGCCTGGAGGGGTACAAGGTGCCACAAGGGAGGGGTACAAGGCACCATGAGGGAGGGGGCCTGGATGGATACAAGGTGCCACAAGGGAGGGGTACAAGGCACCATGAGGGAGGGGGCCTGGAGGGATACAAGGTGCCACAAGGGAGGGGTACAAGGCACCATGAGGGAGGGGGCCTGGAGGGATACAAGGTCCACAAGGGAGGGGTACAAGGTGCCACAAGGAAGGGGGCCTGGAGGGATACAAGGTGCCACAAGGGAGGGGTCAGGAGGGGTACAAGGTGCCACAAGGGAGGGGTCAGGAGGGGTACAAGGTACCACGAGGTTGGGGGCCTGGAGGGGTACAAGGTGCCACGAGGGAGGGGTACAAGGCACCATGAGGGAGGGGGCCTGGAGGGGTACAAGGCACCATGAGGGAGCGGGCCTGGAGGGGTACAAGGCACCATGAGGGAGGGGGCCTGGAGGGGTACAAGGTACCACGAGGGAGGGGGCCTGGAGGGATACAAGGTGCCATGAGGGAGCGGGCCTGGAGGGGTACAAGATGCCACGAGGGAGGGGGCCAGGGGAGGGTTGTAGTCAGAGGGATATAAGGTGTTTTAATGGAGGGGGCCTGGAGGGTTGTAGTTGGGAGTAGTACAAGGTGCTATGAGGGAGGGGGCCTGGAGGATGTTGGTCAGGTGCTATGAGGGAGGGGGCCTGGAGGATGTTGGTCAGGTGCTATGAGGGAGGGGGCCTGGAGGATGTTGGTCAGGTGCTATGAGGGAGGGGGCCTGGAGGATGTTGGTCAGGTGCTATGAGGGAGGGGGCCTGGAGGATGTTGGTCAGGTGCTATGAGGGAGGGGGCCTGGAGGATGTCGGTCAGGTGCTATGAGGGAGGGGGCCTGGAGGATGTTGGTCAGGTGCTATGAGGGAGGGGGCCTGGAGGATGTCGGTCAGGTGCTATGAGGGAGGGGGCCTGGAGGATGTCGGTCAGGTGCTATGAGGGAGGGGGCCCGGAGGGGTACAAGGTGCTATAAGGGAGGGGGCCTGGGGAGGGGGTCAGGAGAATGCAAGGTGCCCAGAGGGAAGGAGTCAGAGACATGTGGGTCAAGGCTTGGAATGTGAGGAATATGGTCAAGGAAGAGGAATAAGATGATATGGTAATATACATTCTCAGGTGGAGCAAGGTCATGGAAAATCCCATCATGCCCGGCGGCTCGGTTCATAAACAAGGTGGGATGGGCGATGTGCGCGTTTCTCTGACATAATCACCTGGCTGGAGGAATGTGTGTTTGTGGGGAAATCTCTCAACCATGAAGGTGTTATTCACTCAATCAGTACCCAGGTGTAAGCAAGGTCAGGACAGGTGATTGAATTATATAACACGCACAGAATGTTTGTTATGATTATTTTTTTTATTATTATTTGTTGTTTAACGCCACACTCAGCAATATTCCAGTTTTATGACGGTAGTCTGTAAATAATCAAGTCTGAGCCAGACAGTCCAGTGATTGATATCATGAGCATCAATTGTGATGCAATGACATGCATCAACCAAGTCAGCGAGCCTGACCACCTAAACCTGTTAGTCACCTCTTACAGCTAGCATGGGTTGCTAAAGACAACATATTACATGAAATGGAGACTAAAGATTAAAAAAATCATTTCCCATTTCTGCATTTCAAAACATGATTTTACATACTTAACTTAAACTGTCATATTCCAAATATAGTTTTTGGACAAACATATATATATATGAATAACTGTTAATTGTTTTAAGGGCATTTAGAAATTTACTGAGTAATTATTTATATTATTAAATAAATAATATTTATTTCCTTGTAAACTTCTGCCTCTCAGAAGAACTAGTTACCTTTGCTAAATATTAGGAAAATACTATTCGGGTCAAAACTCATCTAATAAAAATGTATATGTGGGCAAAGTGTTTCCTAAACAGTGTTAGTAAAATGTAGTTCATGTGGTGAGAGTTCAAAACTCTTCCTGAATCGGTCTCGCCTCGAGTTGTGTTGTTTTGTGAGTGAGTCTGTGTATAGGCCTCCAGCGCATCAGGTGTGACAGTGACACCTAGTGTCAGCGACAAGATCCACACGGATGATTCTATTACCCTAGATTGTAGATTGCTACAAGAGTCTGTCAGTCATTGGAGTAGCCACACCTACCGGTGTGAGACGTGACGGTTCCGTTGTGTTTTGTGACATTCCTGCGAGACATCGCTCCGCTGCGGCCATGCTTATACCTCTGTCATCTGTGCTTTTCACACAGGATGAAAACTGTGTAGGTTTTTCAATATAATCTGGTTTCCTCTTTCAGAAAATGTTTATATACATATATTTTGAGAATTTAGAGTATTGGTTTCATAGGCTGGATGATGGAGAACTATAATGATTTAAGTTCAATTTCCATTGATAAACTTAGGCTGACATGTATAAATGTTTAAATAATTTAATTTTCAGTATATAAGAATATAATAATGTTAAGATGACTGTTTGATTGGCATTCTAGAAGTTGGCAAAATAAGTGAGAAAAACGTACAACTTTATATGGATAATGACTTATAGCGTATAGCGACGTTTCTATGGAGATTCACTCCAGCTTGATAATGGTAAAGGAATCTACATCGAAACGTCGCTATATGCAATAAACCGGAAGTTGTTATCCATAAAGTTGCATGTTTTTCTTACTTTATGTTAAGATAATTTGAATATTTTAAAAATTCATATTTGTGTGCTCTAAATATGTTTAATTCTGTGATTGATGTGATTATGTGTTTTTGGTCACTTGTTGACGTTGTGGTTGAATGTGTGTTTACTTCTGTCAAGGTTAAGAGGGGACTTAATGTCAACATGGTTGAGTTGATGTGCAGTGGGCTATTATAAGCTTAATGCTGCTAGATCCCACTGTTATGATGGGTGAGATGGAGTACTGTGACTTGTGACGTACGGTTCGTCCCGATAATCACACAATCCAGGCATAATAATCACAGGCTTCAAGATCTCAGAACCCTTCTGTACCACGAGAGGAAGATGTGCCATATTGTCTTTGATTCGGAGCTCCAGGCAGCCGTAAGTGTTGTGAGCCTTTAAAGGTCAATCACTTGATTGTCTGGTTTCTTTACAAGCCGCCGTCGCATGGCAGGAGTACTGATGTGTGGTGTTAGGCAACAAAAACTTACTTTTTATGCAAATTGTGTGAATGGCAGGCGCTACCGGTTTGGCAGGACATGCATGCGCTTTTCGAACACCTGGTGTCATCACTGATTTCAGTGATCCATTCATGTGATTTTTACCGCGGTCAGGTAGCCTAGTGGTTAAAGCGTTCGCTCGTCATGCTGAAGACCTAGGTTCGATTCCCGACATGTGTACAATGTGTGAAGCCCATTTCTGGTGTCCCCACACCGTGATATTGCTGGAATATTGCTAAAAGCGGCGTAAAACCTCACTCACTCACTCACTCACTCACTCACTCACTCACTCACTCACTCACTAACACTATTTTGGCGTTTGTGTCTAGTGGAGTCAGTTTTAGCAGATATTGAGAGTGGTTATAATCTGGTGTTGATGTTTATATTATTATTCATACATTTTATGTTGCAATTTGTTTTTCAGGAGTCTGGACTTTGCATGACTTTTAACTGTGGCAAACCTGTTTTACAATTTGTTGATACTGTTTAAGCATGCATGTTACATTATTATTTCATATACACACTCCAACACCTGTATGAACATATGTATATATCTGTATCTGCAGATGGTGAGAGAGCGGGAGGATGAATTACGGGAGGCTGACAATGACAACAAGGTCGAGGCCGTACAGGATCGCTTCCCCCATGATGACCTTCAACTTCGAGATCGCGACAAGGCACAGGTCAGTCATCTTCACACAAGAAATACTGAAAAATACATTACATGGATCCAGTAAACATTGACTGTGTTGGTCAGTTTCAGTGATGATAGTTGCTGAAATATTGCTGAAAGTTTGCTAATGCAACATTACCTTTTAACTCACTCATTCAAAATGTATTAAGGGTTTTCAGTTAAGGCTGGGACGAGTCCAAATTTACTACCCGGGTATCTATCACCCTATTACACGACCCTCCCTGGGTATCTACTGTAGATATTTAGTGATCGGTACGAACTGTCCGATTTGGAAATGTTTGACCTTAGCCCTGGCACGTGTAAAACGATCTGATCATTTATACACTGCATTATTCAAACATATAAAAATCAGAAGGAATGGGTGCATTGTCAGAAAGAAATGGGAACATTAGTGACTTATAGTGTAACCATAGAGTTTAAGATAATTTTTGTCATTAAACAATATATCACGTGACTAACCACGGGTCCAGGTAGTCCTGTGGGTACCCGGGTCCTACTCACGACCCACCCGACCTGGGTACCCGAGTTACCCGTCCCAGCCCTTATTTTCAGTCCTAAGGAATCTGATTTTGGAAGGCCTTATTTAGTGTTATTGTTTTGACGTATTCCTCTTGCTCATCAATTGTTGCAATGGTTGACTGGCGATGGCACCTGTCTTGTCGCCCATTTATTGTCACTTGGACCAGTAATTACCTGGAACTGGTGCTTACCTACTGGTACTGGATAATGGCCCATGGTCAGTCACCACCTGTTTCCCAGCCAGCTGATGCTGTGTCTGTTTTATCAGATATCTGCTTTCTACCATAGATATGTCAACTGATGAAGTATTCGGTACATGGGATGGTCTCTCACTTTCATTGTTAATCTTGATTTGAACATCATATTGTCATATTTGCATGAGATGGCATCACTTTGATTGCTGATCAGGTTACACTGTTGAGATAATGTCTTATTTTAATGTCGCATTTGCTAATGGAGATTCAAATGTCAAATGCTTCACCAATACCATCTCACCCCCTCCCTTCCCCTCCCTCCCCACCCCTCCCTCCTCCAAGATGTCCAATATATAAGGGGGGCAAGTCAGCAAAGGTTCTGCAAACTGCAGAGTCAAGTCCAGTAGGCATGTCAATAACCCGCGGTTCGATTCCCAGATTTGTGTAAGACCTGCATCACTTCCGGCTTTCCATCCATCTGCTGATGCCATGATATAACTGAAAAGCTGTTCAAAGCACAGTAAATAAAATGCAAATGATTCCGTGGCATTTGATTGGCTGGGAACAAACTCTGGATGCCCTTGTGCTGTACGATGATCCTGGTTTCGTGTTGTTGTTTTATGTTAATGATTGGGGGTTCTGCTAATGAAATAATATGTTAATGATTGGGATTTCTGCTAATGAAGTAAGCAGTCTGTGAAGTGATTGTTGTTGACATATATATTTATAAAAATAGACTTCAATATGTTGTTGTGTTTATAGAGGTATAAGTGTAAAAACCTGTGTTGACTCTGTGTAAATCCGTGGATTTAAGCAAAATGTGCATATCGTTGTTTATGGGTTTATAGTTATTGTGTTTAATTAAGAACTTCAGTATTTTGTGAGTGGATTTACACGAAGTGTGTACACGGGTTTTCATGTTTATTCCTCTATAAATGCACAAAATATTGAGGTGAATTCTCAGATAAACCCAATAAATCAACCACTGGCTCCAAGCCATACAGTAGAGTGCATGCAGTCCAGGTAGCGTGTCCTCCATACAATATGTATAGGAGTGTATCAATCATAGAAGGAGGTCACTGATGACATGATACGACAGGGAGGATTACCAGCTCTTCCTCTGACGTGGGTGGACGAGGTGACGACATTTCAATATCGGTGCCCCCAAGATTTGCCTCATCAGTGATGTCTCAAACCAGTCATCTTAGATGTGTGACTTGCACTGTTTAGTCATTTTAGGGTTGGGTGGGGAGTGTCCCGTTGTCTCAGCCATTACTCTTAGATGAGGTAATTGTAGATTTTGATATTTGTTTCCGGAATATTTAAAAAAAAATAGACCTGTGTCATAAGCTGCATACAGTGTAACTTTATTACGTATTTTGTGGATCTTGCTTCTATAGTTCAGGGAATAAGTAGCGTTGTTATTCAATATGTATGTATGCCTAGTTTCTTCCTCCCTGATTCAACTGAAGTAGACCCTGAATCTCTCTTGGTTGGTTGGTGGGTTGGTTGGTTGGATGGCTGGCTGGCTGGTTGGTTGGTTGGGTGGTTGATTGGTTGGTTGGTGTTTAACGCTGCAATATTCCAGCTATATGACAGGGGTCTGTAAATTATCAATTTTGGACCAGGCAGTCCAGTTTAATATTGACATCATGAGCATCAATCTACACAATTTTGATATGATGACATGCATCAACCAAGTCAGCGAACAGGACCACCCGATCCCATGAGTCGCCCCTTATGGCTAGCACGGGTGCTGAAGACCTACTCTCTATGCAGATCTTAATGGTTCGAGCCTCTCTTCAGACCCCAGAGCGTATGTTTAATAAAAACAATCACCTCTATTTCTTTCTCATCCCCTTTTCGGCTCAAGAAGCCCATACTCTCCTTTCCAGCTCATGAAATTATGAGTCTTGTGTTCTTTAGTACTCAAGGGTCTTGTTGTAGAACAATTCTATAATTTACTTCATGCATAACTGTTACTTCATGGACTGTATGGTTTTCTAGTTAACTCACACAAGAGCAGATACAAAATTCTTATAGGATAGCCAGTGCCGTAGCCAGCCTAGATTGAATCAAGTTGGGGACAAGTGATACTTGTACAAATATTTGCCCCCCCCCTGTCAATAAAAGTTAACTACGGCCTTGATAGCCCATAATATTACAAGTTCTAGTAATATGTTACACATTCCTTCACAGTAAAAATCTAAAGTAGTTTGTAGTCTTTATCCCAACACCAGTCATTTGAAGCCGGTGATATATAATTCTGGACCTGAATTAAAGTAATCAGCCAGGTATATCGTATCCTTGACTGTTTCCATTCAACAATGAATTCGTTGAAATAATTTCAACATTAGTGTAGTGTTCTGAATAGACAAATATTTCAAGTACTCTGTCGGTGAAGTCACGCCTGTAAGTAACCCTGCCATGGTAGTGTTTAATGAAGCATATTAGCTAGCTCAATATAGTATACTCAGGGGTTGTATATTTCAATCTGTGCAAATATGATTGGCTGCTGATTGGCCTTGAGGAATCTGATTGGCTGAGATTGATGTATATTGCAGAGGTGAATGCACATGGCTTATGGTATTGGAATATCGCCTATTGTTATCTGTAGGATAATCTCGACCACAACAACCTGATTAGCTTTGGAGCAAGTCAGTGAGCACAATACTGGTGTTTTTCACTTGACTTTTTGGGGCAAGTTTGGCAACAACGGAGGACCACAATCTTTGATCAACATTCACTGAATATCGAAAGCAAAATGGTTCTATTTCATTTGGAATCGATGTGTATGTACGACTCATATTTCTGATACAGGTCGGTATACTTTTGCGTTTGAGTGATTAGAAGCATATAGTTATTGTTTGTGTGGTTGAATCTGGCTTGTTTACATAATACGACATGTTATCATGAAGTATGGCAGTGTTAGTCTCGGTTGTCTTTTGGTTATACTTTTTTATGGCATATCGTTTCGGACACACCCAAGAATTGTTTGTATATGAACAATAAATATGTTCATTTCAGATATAAGTTGTGTATAGGTCGACCATGTTTTGATGGCATATTGTTTTGGAAACCACGCCAGATGTTTTTTTGTATATGAAACAATAAATATGTTAATTTCAGATAAAAGTTGTGTATAGGTCAACCATTTTTTTATGGCATATTGTTTTGGACACCACGCCAGATGTTTTTTGTATATGAACAATGATGATGTTCATCTCAGATATGACCTGTGTATAGGTTTGGGTATCTTTGGATGGCAAATTGTTTTGGACATGAACTGGGAGGCGATAATAGTATTTATGCTACTCAAAAAAAGTTAAAGACAAACTGATTCTTTCAATTCATCAAGTGATGTGAAACAGTTGTGATATGAAAGACTTCTTTTGATTACAATATAATGCCATAGCTTCTATACACCAGTGCATACTCTGAGCCTTCACCATTATTACCCTGGTCAAGGAATCAGTGTGCTCTCGAATGTCATTCTCAGCTCCCTGGGGAGTACACACTATGTCAGCTTTAGATATCTGTAGCAGGGTGATGAACTGTGAAATGACTTTTAGGCTTACAAAAGACCTTGGGACTGCACTATGTCATGTTTTGTGAGTGGAATGTTTTCTAACAGTGTGGTGTATATACAAGAAAATTGTTAAACTGAGCTTGGATTTCAATTTATGCATACGCAAGGGTCTATTGTGTAGATGCAATGTTATTACGGATATTTCCAAAAATGTTAAGGAACAGAATATCAGATTGCCAAGGATTTATTATACCATGCTAAGGCTTATCTCAAGAGAGATTCATGTGTTCAAAGGATTCCAAAAACTTATTTCTCTAAAAAATATTCAATTTTGAAATTTTGGAGTTGTTACATAAACATTTTTTTATGGAAGTTTTATGTTTTCATGTGAAAAAAAGTAGTTGTGGGTTTAGATTGTATTGTGTAAAGTGACTGTAGTGGGATTGATGTTTGTGTGAGGATACCAAGAACATGACAAAGTCATGGGGGAAGATTAGGGCTCAAACGACCGCTTCCTTTAAGAATTTGGGATTTGGGATCGGGGGAGAAGAAAATCAATTACTTTATTTTCATTGATGGAATATCTTGAAGGACAAGTATGACTTTATCATCAAGTATTGTCTGTTGTCGTATACTTAGATTTCAGAAACATTTGCTGGATGAGACTCTTTTGAAGTATAAAAAATACTATTACTGAAATGAAAAACATCTTTCAGTTTGAGACTTGGAGTATGTGGAAGTGTTGGG